CGCGCCTCCGCAGGTGGTGTACGGGGACACCGACTCCGTCATGTGCCGATTCGGGGTCACCTCTGTGGCCGAGGCGATGGCCCTGGGCCGGGAGGCCGCGGACTGGGTGTCGGGCCGCTTCCCCGCCCCCATCCGGCTGGAGTTTGAGAAGGTGAGTGGCCTCGGGGGGGCCGGGGGGCCCCGATGTCGGCAGAGCGCAAGGACGCACACGCTTGGGGTTCCCCCTCCGGGGTACCCTGCTGTGGCCCAGACCTCTCCGTTTGGGGTACCCTGATCTAGTTACTCGGTCTCCCAGTTCTCCGGCTCACGTGCCCCCACTTCAGGGGTATTTGTTGCCTGAATCCTCCTGATGGGCTCTGCAGCGGGGGGCCCTGTCCCCCGAAAGCCCCTTCAGCCTCTCAGCATCACTGGTCTGGGGCTCCTGGGGGCGCCCCCATCCATGGCCCCCATACCATTTCATCTCCTGGGCCCAAGCTTGGGGTGGGCTGTGGGCTGGGCCAGCTCGCTGGCTTGGAGTACCCCGTTTTGGAGACATCTGCCACGGGTCTCGTTCTGACCCCCGCTCTTGTCTGGAGATACAGGAACCCCTCAGGGTCTCGGGCTCCGTCCTCAAACATCGGGGTCCTGTGTCACAGGGGCTAACCCTGCCCGTCCTCAATTTCTGGGAGCGAGGCGCCCCCGCCTGCAGTCTCGCTTCTCGCCTTGGCCCCCACCAGGTCTACTTCCCCTACCTGCTCATCAGCAAGAAGCGCTACGCCGGCCTGCTCTTCTCCTCGCGGCCAGAGGCGCATGACCGCATGGACTGCAAGGGCCTGGAGGCCGTGCGGAGGGACAACTGCCCCCTGGTGGCCAATCTGGTCACTGCCTCCTTGCGCCGCCTGCTCATTGACCGGTGAGCCCCAGCCTCCTCCCTCAGAACCGGGAGCCCAGTTCCCCAGTCCAGTCCCTCAGACGCGGGGGTCCAGGCCCCCCAGCCCCGTCTCCTCCCCACAGACCCCGGAGCCCAGACTCCCAGCCCCTCGGCCCTTGGGGACACAGGTGTCCTCCCCCCGGGGTGCGTGGTTGGACAGCTGTGGGTCCTGGCCCCAGCTCTGCCACAGCCTGAGGCCGGGGACCCCCTCCCCACCCTGGGCCTCTCGTCCCAGCCTCGGGGGCAGGTGGGCTTGTCAGCTGGCCCTCGGCACCCCAGGGTGACACCCGCCTGGTGGCTCCTGCAGAGACCCCGAGGGCGCCGTGGCGCATGCGCAGGAAGTCATCTCAGACCTGCTGTGCAACCGCATCGACATCTCCCAGCTGGTCATCACCAAGGAGCTGACCCGCGCGGCCGCCGACTACGCCGGCAAGCAGGCCCACGTGGAGCTGGCCGAGAGGTCTCCGGTGGGGGGCGGGGGCCGGGGGCCGCCAGAAATAGCCCCCCTGCCAGCTGGGCCGCCACTTCCTGTGCCCCGCCCCCAGCCCCCACCTGTCCTCACCCTGCCTGCCACCCGGCCTCCCCGCAGGATGAGGAAGCGGGACCCCGGGAGCGCCCCCAGCCTGGGCGACCGCGTACCCTACGTGATCATCAGCGCCGCCAAGGGCGTGGCCGCCTACATGAAGTCGGAGGTCAGGCCCACCTGGCTGCCCGCGCCCGCCCAGCTCTCCCGGCTCTCACTTCTGCTTTCCAGGCGGGTGGGGAGGGTGTTTCCCTCCAGGGGCCCCAGGGGGCGAGAACTGCCCCGCCACACCCCGGGAGTCGCTGCGCTCCCAGGCCCCCCGGCGCCCCCTGGAGGCCGGTGGTGGGACTCCTACTGCCCTGCGGAGCGGGGCTCCCGTCATGCCGGCCGGCCGCTCCTCGGGCTGCCGCCAGGGCGCGCCCTCCCCGTGCTGCCCGGGGCAGCGACCCCAGCCCCGCGCTCTTCCGCAGCCCCCCTTCCTGTTGACCTCACAGCCCCCAGTTGGGGGCCCAGTGGGTCACAGACCCCGTGCCCCAGGGGCCCCGCCCTCTGATGCCATTCTAGACCCGGGTCCCAGGCCACACCCACCAGGGCCCTGCCCACACCGTTGCCCCAGTCATGCGCTGAACCCCTGGGCTGCCGGGTTTGCCCCCGTGACGCCCCGCCCGCCCCCCGCAGGACCCCCTGTTCGTGCTGGAGCACAGCCTGCCCATCGACACGCAGTACTACCTGGAGCAGCAGCTCGCCAAGCCGCTGCTGCGCATCTTTGAGCCCATCCTGGGGGAGGGCCGCGCGGAGGCCGTGCTGCTCCGTACGGGGGTGCTGGGGAGGGGCGCCCGGGTGGGGTGCGGCCCAGGGGTGAGGACGCTGGTGCTGAGGGAGGGGTGCCCAGCTGTGGCGAATGCAGGGGTGCTGGGGGGTGGGCTCCTGGCAGGCTGGTGCCTAGGCTACGGTACACTGTGCCAGGGGAGGGGTGCAGGGGGTGCTGCCCAGGCATGGGGTCCACTGGGCCAGAGGAGGGCCCCAGGGACAGAGGGCACTGACCCTCCCGTCTCCGCAGGGGGCGACCACACCCGCTGTAAGACGGTGCTCACGGGCAAGGTGGGCGGCCTGCTGGCCTTCGCCAAGCGCCGCAGCTGCTGCATCGGCTGCCGCACTGTCCTCAGCCACCAGGGTGAGCCTGGGCCCTGCCCTGCCCCGGCAGTGCCCCCCTGCAGCTCCCGAAGCAGCCCCCGCCGAGGGTCCTGGGCCCCCCGCCCCGGGACTTCCCCCGGGGAGTTTTCCCGCACACTGCTCCCTTGTTCTCCGGCTGCGGGGACTTTCGGGAGGCGGGCGGGGCAGGGGCAGGGGTGGGGTGGCCCTGGCTCGGCCCCAGCTCCCCTTGCCGACCCCCAGGAGCTGTGTGCAAGTTCTGCCAGCCCCGGGAGTCCGAGCTGTACCAGAAGGAGGTGAGCGGGCGGGCGGGCGGCGGGCGCGGGCGGGCGGTGGGCCGGCCGGAGCGATGCTCAGCGCCCCGCCCCCAGGTGTCCCACCTGAATGCCCTGGAGGAGCGCTTCTCCCGCCTCTGGACCCAGTGCCAGCGCTGCCAGGGCAGCCTGCACGAGGATGTCATCTGCACCAGGTGCGCCCCCGCCCGGCCCGAGCCCCGACGCCAGGTCCCGGCTCCAGCGCCGCCCTGCGGTGGGGGAGGGGGAGGGGGTTGGGTGCCCGTTGTCCGCTCGCTGGTGCCACAGGCCTGGCCCCCTCCCCAGGGCGTGCCGGGCTTTCCCCAGGGAACAGGTGGGCGGGCCGGGTTCCCACGCCAGGTGACAGGTGATATACGGCCGTGTCGCGGCCTCGGGAGTACCCGCCGTTATCGGCTCCGGTGCCCGCTGAGCAAACAGCCACCCCCCCAGGGGTGGGTGGGCGGCGGGCAGGGGCCAAAGTCCTGGGAACGGCCCCCGCCCGTCACCGCGGGGCAGCGGGACCAGGCACCAGGCGGGCCCTGACCCGCCACCCGGACCCCACCTGCAGCCGCGACTGCCCCATCTTCTACATGCGCAAGAAGGTGCGCAAGGACCTGGAGGACCAGGAGCAGCTTCTGCGGCGCTTCGGGCCCCCTGGGCCGGAGGCCTGGTGACCCCCGGCCTCACCTGCAGCATCCCTGGGGGCGGGGCGGGGCGGGGCTGGGGAACAATAAAGTTCAGCTTTTTGCTACTTGGCGCTTCGTGGTATTGGAGTCTCCCCGCAGGGTCCCGCCATGCACTGGGACCTCCGCACCCCTGCGAGGCCGGTCCCCTTTCCCGCTGCTGCAGAGGCCAGCCCTGCCTCGCACCCCCAGGCCCCTTCTGAGGGCATCGGGCACCAGCGCCTACTCACCCCCCTGCCCCTGGGGCTGCCCCACCCCCCAGTTGCCCACCTGTTTCCTCCCGGCCTGGGGCAGCCCCTCCCAGCACCAGCAAGGGGGCCCCTCCTAGTCACGCCCACGATGTTTCCACCTGGGGTCCTCACTGCCCTTAGGCCCCCCAAGTCTGTGCATGAAAGCCCTGGGGACCCTGTGCCAGGTCTGCCCTCTGGCCCCAGTGACCCCTCCTCCAAGTGCCGTGTCCAGCCCCCATGTCCCATTTGCTGACCCCCCTTCACTGGCCACGGGACCCCTTGAGGCCTCCTTTACTCTCAGAGTGCCCCAAATCCAGCTCCTCCCATCTCCACCCCTCAGCCAGCCCCCCACCCCCCACTATGGGGATCCCCAAATCCAGATGGCCCCTGAGCCCGCCCTCCCACCACGTGACCAAGGGGTTGTGCAATTCAGCCCCCTGCCCTGACCCCCTCCCCGAGGGGATTTTTGAGGAGGGCCTAGTTCCACGCCTGCACCCCTGCCCCCCCCAGGGGGCTGGGCCAAGGTATAAATAGGGCTGGTGGCGGAGCTGCGGCCAGCCAGCCCAGCCCGCTCAGCACCACCATGCTCGCCCTGGAGGCTGCACAGTAAGTGGCCCTCGGCGCCCTGGCCCCCCCCTCGCCCCCTGCCCACGGCCCGCAGGCTGGGGTCCTGCTCGACCCCACCCAGGAGGTGCAGGAGGGCGGGCGGCGCCCTGCATCCTCGGAGCCCTGCGCCTCCCGCCCTGGGCCCCTGGCTGCTGCCCGCCTGCAGCCCAGCCCACCCACTGGGTGCTCCACCAGGAGCCCCCACCCCGCTCCATCTCCGCTGCCCCCCACTCTGCCACCTTTTTCAGGGGCTGGGTCCCGCTGCCCTGTGGCTGCGTCTGTGCCCCGGGTCTTCCTGCCTCCCCTCCCGGCCCAGTGAGGACTTCCTGGGCCCCTGCTCCCCCGTCCTAGGGGACCCACTGCACCCACGGGCTGGTGGAGGCCTCCCTGCCCCCACTGGGCCGGCTGGCGCCCACACCTCCTCCCCTGGGACTTTCTCTCCCTCACTTTCCCTGCCCCCCCAGCCAGTCTATGCAAATCCCGGGGGAGGGGGGGCATTTGCCTGGCCCGTCCCCTCGCTTCCTGTCCCAGTGGGGGAGTGTGGTGGGGTTGGTCCTGCACAGCGACACACACTCAGCTGCGGTGGGCACAGCTGCACTCCCCCCCACCGGCCCGCGGCAGCCAACATGCCCCTGTGTCTCTCCCCCTGCAGGCTGGACGGGCCACACCTCAGCTGTCTGGTAAGTGGGTCCAGGGCCAGACCCGGCCAGAGGCCCATGCGACCTCCCTGCCTCAGTTTCCCTCCCTTTATCTTTCCAACTCCCCCCTCCCCCACCTCACTCCTCCCCCCCCATCACACACGCTTTTTCTATTACTGGCTCTTTCCCTCCCTCAGGCTCGGGTTCACTTCCTGCAGCCAGAGGGATGGGGGGGCTCTGTGGACTGACCCCCTCCGTGTCCATCCCACAACCAGTCAAGCTGTGGGTTCCCCGCCCCCCGCTTCTGCTCATGCTGCAAAAGCCTAGCCACAGATCTCGGAGCTTGTGCCCGCGCTGCTGAGCCCCCAGCCCAGCTGGGGACCCCAAGTCGCTCAGCTGCCCCTCCCCCCTCACACCCTCTCCAACGACCGTTTGCTGCTGCTGTGGTTTTCAGTGGAGCCTCGGCTTATAGGTCAGCCCCGGGCCCTCGGTGCACACCTGAGCGAGGGCACCCCGACACCACGTCCCCACCGCCCTCTGCCTCTGCCTCCCGCCCCCGAGGCATCTCACAGTCAGGGGCTGCCTCCACCCTACACTGCCCGGGGGGTGGGGGGTGCTGCTGGCGAGGCTTTTCCCTCACCTTTTTCCTCACCGTATACTTTTCCGTCCCCCCACCCCGGTCTCTCCGTCACGGGCCACCGGCTGCCTTCCTGTCTGCAGTTGCTCAGAGCGGCTCTGGTTGTTCTGGAATAAGGCTATTGGGGCACAGGTTTTCGGCTGCGGGTAAATACCTAGGGACAGGGGGAGAGAAGCTGCTGATCGCTGGTCTGTCCTGGGCACCATCTGGGGGCCGATGAAAGGCGCCCCAAGACGCCGCCTCCTCGTAAGGGTGCTTCCAGCCCCCTCGCCTGCACAGGCCAGGCCGGGGGTCTCCCTGGTGCTGTGCCTTGCCAGGGGTGAGCCCCGCGCTGCTGGGGACCCCGCCGTCTCGGAGCTGGCCACAGCAGCCCTCTCACGCCCGTCTTTTCCTTTGCCTCCCCCGGGCCAGCTCTAGCTCTCTGTCGGTGTTTCTTTTAGTTCCAGTCTCTTCCTCACTCCTCCTCTCCCCACTCCCTATCAGTCCCCCCACTAACCCAACTGCAGGGTTGGGGACTCCCTGCAGCCAGATGACCCCTCTTCCCCCCAACCCCCATCAGTACCCAGATGGAGTCTTCTATGACCTGGACAGCTGCAAGCACCCCAGTTACCCTGACTCCGAGGGGGCTCCCGGTGAGTGACCCTGACCCAGCCCCCACCACAGCCCAGGGCAGGCTGCCTCTGGCACAGCAGGATTAGGGGAGCTCAGGCCTCCTCCCCTTGGCCCTGCCTGCACCCCACTTTCCCATGCAAATCCTGGGGTCAGAGATTTGCACGCCCACAATGGCCCTCTGTGTGAGGCTTCCAGGGAGGGGGCGGCCAGCCCTCCAGGCTTGACTCCACGCCCTTCCCCAGACTCCCTGTGGGGCTGGGCCGAGGCTCCAGCTGTCCCCACCACCTCCTATGAGGCCTTTGACCAGCCCTCCAGCACCTTCGGCCACCCCCAGGGCATCCAGCTCTGCTATGGACCCTCGACCTACAGTGCGGCGGGGGTTCTCGACCCACTCCCCAGCCTAGAGGCCCCCGGGCCCGGCTTCCCAGCGTACCCCACGGAAGACTTCGCCAGCCAGGTGAGGGGGGGCACAGTCCTGTCGGGGGGCCTAGCGAGTCCGGAGTGCAGGCTGCAAACAGCCGGGGTAGGAGGCGGGGGCGGGGGAGGGGGCTGGATGACAGGTGACCATGACTTCCGCAGACCCTGGGCCCCCCTGCATATGCTCCGTACCCCAGCCCCGTGCTATCTGAGGAGGAGGACCTTTTGCTGGACAGTCCTGCCCTAGAGGTCTCGGACAGCGAATCAGACGAGGCCCTCACGGCTGGCCCTGAGGGGAGGGGATCTGAGGCAGGTATGTGGGGCTGGGGGACCCAGTGGACATGGGGGAGGCGGCTACAGCGTCCCAAAGGGCTACCGGATACCCAGAGCCAGCAGCGCTCAGGCTGCCACCTGCTGGCTGTGTGACCTCGGGCAGGTGCCTAGACCTCTCTGTGCCGGGGCCTCCTGGCTGTACAACCAGAACACAGTGCTGACGTCCGCCCTCCTGGGGTTCGGGGCAGGGGAGGGGTAAGAAAATACAGGTTTCCCCCGTTATCTAAACGCATGAGTTGGTAGGTTATTTTTGGCGGGCCCGTGAATGCTACTGCCACTAAGGTTTCTGGAAACGAACCACCCCAAAGTGACCTACCTCCGACCCAGTGGGTAGTCACCGTGGATCTCAGGGCTCATCCTCATTGTCCACCCCAGAGCAACACGCCAGCCCCGTGTCCACGCCACCGGCTTCCACCTACACCCATCGACCCCTGGAAAGCTGCTCGCTACCTCCTTTTTCTACCTGGCTTTGGTTTCCCTCCTGTGACAAGGGCGTCGTTTTCATCACGCCCCCCTCGTGGGGTTACGGTGATGACCGAACCAGCTCAGTTTTGAGGCTCCCGAGGCAGCCCTGGCACGGTAGCCTCATTTATAGCTGCAAGGCGCCAGTCCAGAGGGGTTAAGTCACCACCCGGTGGTCACACAGCTGGGAAATGGCAGCCTGGGTTTGCTGACCACCCCCGCAAACTCGGTGGGGGCCCGACGGCTTGGAGGAACTCCCAGAGTCGGGCCCACTGACCTCTCCCGGTGCCAGACCTCCTGGGACTAGGCTGGGAGGCTTGGGGCTGGAGAAAGCGGCCAGGAGGACTGGACGGTCCTCCCGCCTCCCCTCAGGCAGTCAGCTCTGTTGGAGCCTTTGAGGGGCGCTGTCAGATCCTCGGCTGCACGGACCTGCAGCTTCTAAGCCGAGGGGGGCACAGAGCAGGGCAGAGAGCAGAGCACAGCGCCCAGCGCCCGCGGCTGCGCTGGCAGGGAGGGGGCGGGGGCTGGGGTAACGGCTGCAGGGGCTGGGGGGGCTGCCCCAAGCCCGCAGGTGTGTCCAGCTGGCCCGGCTGGGGGCGGGGTGGGCGCGGGGAGGGCGCGGCGCCGCCTCCCAAGCCCGACGCCCCTGACGCCCGCGCCCTCCCCGCAGGGGCCCGCAAGAAGCTGCGCCTGTACCAGTTCCTGCTGGGGCTGCTGACCCGCGGGGACATGCGCGAGTGCGTGTGGTGGGTGGAGCCGGGCGCCGGGGTCTTCCAGTTCTCGTCGAAGCACAAGGAGCTCCTGGCGCGCCGCTGGGGCCAGCAGAAGGGCAACCGCAAGCGCATGACCTACCAGAAGCTGGCGCGCGCGCTGCGCAACTACGCCAAGACCGGCGAGATCCGCAAGGTGAAGCGCAAGCTCACCTACCAGTTCGACAGCGCGCTGCTGCCCGCCGCGCGCCGGGCCTGAGGACCGGGAGCCCCGCCATGTGGGGCGGGCGCCCCACAAGCCCCGAGTCCTGTCGGGGCTCTCCGGGCCCCTCTGGGATGACTCCGCCTGCCCGGGAGCCCCGATCTCGTCTGGCCGGGACCCTCCCACAGACTGCTAGCCAGCGTGAGTCGGCGCGGCCGCAGGGCTCCAGAACCCCAGCGTCTCTCGGGGCTCCTGGAGATGGCTGACATACACCCACCAGGCCAGGGCCTCTGCAGTTCTTCCATTTCGTCTGGGGGAACCCACAGGCCGTCTCACAGGGTGGGGGGAGGTGCTGCAGGCAACCCCAAGGCCTGTCCAGTCTTGGGTCTGTCCAATCCGCCACCTCCTAGTTATGCCTGCCCCTCCCCCCAGCCTTTCTCATGTCTCAGGTCTCTGCACCCACCTGTGGCTTCCTCGTCCTGTCCACCCCAACCCCCCTGGTCGTTTCTGAGGCCCCCTCCGCAGGGCTGTCACTCTTTGTGTCCGGATACCCCAAGCACACCTGGGACCCCTCTGGGATCAGGTCCGAAAATCACCCCTGGCAGATCGAGGGGGCAAACTCATGAACCTCGTCGTATGTGGCCCTCTCTGGAGACCCTAGACCCTCTAACCACTCCTGAGGTCCCCCGGGACCCCTATTTGGGGGCCCACCGCAGCCCCCAGTCCGGGCAGGGACACTAGCCCCTGGAGTCCCTTCCAGGCTGGGGGTGCAGTGGGGGGATGGTTCCGGCTACACAGCTGGTTGGGGGTGATCTTGTAGCCCTCCCCTGCCCTTTCTGACTGGTGACTGCCATTGGAGGTGGTTCGCACCCCGGGGGGAAATCAGGCCCCTGGTGTCCCCTTAGCTGACTGTACTGACAGGGATCTGGGTGAACCGCTGGCATTTTCAAAACTGGGAGACTCTGCCCAGTCCAGCAAGGACGGGCCACCCCTGGGTGTGGAGCGGCTGCAGCAGGGCATCGCCTTGCCCAGTGCCCACCCCTGCCTGTCTTCCCCCAGTGGCTCCTCTCAGCTCCAGCCCACTTGTCCCCCAACCTTAGCGTTTTGAGTCCCGGTGTGACCCGGCTGGAGGTGAAGCCTGGATGAAGGGGGGGGGGTGCTTGGCGGGAGGGGCGGAGTCCAGGTCCTGCCTGGGTGGCCGGATCTAGGGTGAGAGACTAGTCTGTCCCTTCTGTGAAAGGGGAGACCAGGAGGAAGGTCACAACATTTCCTTGGAATGTTCGGCACATCTGAAATCCAGCCCACCAGCTGTGGCTGGGAGCAGCGAGAAGAGGGAGCAGCGAGAAGAGGGCGCACCAAGCACCGCAGGAGGAAGGGGTGCTCTGGGGGGCACGGCCAGCGGCGAGGCAAAATGGCCTCGCGAACAGCGCCCCCCCCCCGCCGTGGGGGGCAGGGCAGGAGGCTCGCAGAGGGGACAGGGAATGTCCCCCAGGCCCTCCTTTGCAACAATTATAATCACCCACGTGTGGAACGAAATAAAATAAACAAATCAAGGTAAACAAACCTCCTAGGACCCTTTGTCGGGGCGGGGTGCTCAGAGACACAAGGTCGCAGAGGGCAAGCGAGGAGGCCATTAGGTGGGGCCGGGCCGGGCCGAGCCCTGAAGGCCGAGGAAAGAGGCTTGCGCCGCAGGCACTGGCCCTTCGCCAGGTTCGGTCTCCCCGATCGCCGGAGCTCTTCCCCACCCTCTTCCCGACCCTGCTTCCGGCTGGGTCCCCCGCCGGTCTCCGGATACAGGGGCGGCGCGGGCGGGCGCCCTGCGGTCACCCGGCCCCCGCGCAGTCTGCTGGCAACCCGTGACGTCCCGCGGAGGCTGCCCTCCCATTGGCCAGGCGCTCCCTGGGGGCGGGCACTTCCCGGCTCCTAGGGGGTTTTGGAAAAGGTGGGGGGCAGAGAGGGCAGGAAGAAAACCCCAAGGTAATTGTTTTCCAGCCGTCGGGTCCCTCACCCAGCGTTACTTTATCTCTCTTCCTCACACACCTCGCACCTCTCCCGGCAATACCTGGTTTGCCCTAAGACCCACTCGTCCCCCCAAACTCGCGCCCCCTACTCCATCTCCCCCCACCCGCGTCCAGCCACCCCCATTCAGAAGGCCACAGGTCCACCGCCGGGAAGGGCGCCAGCATCCGGGCAGCCCTCCAGGGCCTTCCCGGCGTCCCCACCCGTCCCCAGCGGGGCACACGCCCCCATATCGGTGCCCGCTCGCTCCGGGAACGGCCCCAGGAGGCGCAGCGGCCAGCCCAGGGCCCAGGTGGCTGGAGCCCGAGCCCGCCGGCCGTGCCACACCGAGGGCGGCGGGGCGGACCTGCCTACGCTGGAAACCAGACCTCCCTCCAGGCTCTGGTTTCCAGAAAACTCCTGACTCGCAGATGCTAAGAATGGCTTTCTAGACCCTGCCTCCCCTTCCACGCCCCTTGCCAGACTGCTGGCCCCCAGACCTCACCCACTTCAGACCCCAAACTGTGACCTGGCTCCCTCCGGACCGAGTCCACGCCCTCACCTTCTGGGGCAGGTCCTCCATCCCCAGCCAGCCCAGCCGCGCCCCTCCTCCCCGCCCAGGCTGCAGGCCGGCTCCCCCCTCGGCCTGGCACCCGGCCTGGCTCTCTGTCCAGCTGTATTTGTCGCCCTTTAGAACCCGCTGTGGAATGTGGGGCAGCAGGGGCCGTGGGGGGAGGCACTCTCCTCCCGGGGCCTCCTGGGAGTCTCTGGACTCCTTAAAGGACTCCCCTGGGGGCCACCTGTCCTCCCAGGGCGCAGGCAGAGCGGTCAGAGCCCAGGACAGCGCTGACATGCCCGAGGCAAAACCAGGTGGCGGCAGCCCCCCACTGTGGCGCGGACCCCAGTGGGGACTCGGAGCACCTCTCTTCCTGGGTTGTGGGGACGGCGGAGGGGTTCCCTTCCTCGTGTGGGATGGGGTCCCCGCCTGGGTTGGCTGAGGGATCTCCTTCCCTGTGTGGTGGGGGCAGCTTCCCTTGTGGATGGGGAGTTGGGGGGCCGATCTCCAGACATTGATGGAGATTCTGAGTGACAGATTTCTTGATGGGGATGGGGTTCCCCATGGGCGGTTGGGAGCTGCATGATGAGTGGGGTGCTCTGCATTCAGAATAGGGTCCTCTGGGTGGAATCGGGGCTCACCTCTGAGCGAAGCGTGGGCCTTTCTCTAGGGTTTCGGGCATGGTGATGTGGGGTGTCCCTCTTTTCTACAGGATCCGGGGCTTCCCCCTGTAGGAATGAGGGGCTCTTCCCCACATAGGGGCTGGCAGGTCTTGTTTATGTGCAGTTTTGGGGTGATTCCTTGTGGGGCCCTGAGGATATTTCTTGATATGGTCATGGGGTTTCCTCTCTTTGGGGGCCCTCCTCCTGGAGGGGGGCCCTCTCCTGGGCCAGGCCAGCCAGGCTGTGGGATGGGGGTTCGGCCAGTAGAGGCGGGCAGGCAGAGCAGGTGAAGACGCTGTGTCAGCGAGAAGTGTGGCTGTCACCTCGGAAGAGCTAATTTTACCCCCAGGACCCAAAGGTCAGGGCCTGGTGGCCTGGGTGGGTGGGGCCGGCCGCTGGGCAGAGGAAACCTGATCTCAGGCTCCTGGGATTAGAGGTCAATTTACACCTGGACTGCTCTCTCCTGATCTGGGGGGGCAGCGTGGGGGGTGGGGGGGGGAGGGCTGAGGGAGGGGCTCTGTGAACACCTATCTGCCTCACAGCGGCCAAAGCGGCCCCCAAAGGCAAAGATGCTGCCAAGCCAGCCCCCAAGGAAGCTCCCCCCAAGGAGGCCCCTGCGGAGCCCCCCAAAGGTGAGGTGGTGTTCCGGAATCCAGCAGAACCTGGCTCCCCATCCTCTGTGTTCCCGAGCCACCCGCACCCATCCTGTCCCCCTGGGGGCCCAGACTAGGCCTCTCTCCCTGCGGCTCTGTGGCACCCCAGGGCAGACGCCCCCCGAGCTGGGCCTGTCCAGCTCTGAGCCCCAGCTTGTCCTCACACCGTCCCTACGCCAAAGACCCATCTCAGACCTTCTGGCCCAGCACCCTCAAGCTCTCGGAGGTGGGGAGGGGGCCTGAGGGCCAGAGCGGGCAGGAGCCTGCCCAGCCACCAGCCGTGGGGGAGGGGTGGGAGGCGGGGGGGGGGGGCGCCTTTCTGGGTCAGGAGAAGCCAGGATCAGTCTTTGACTGCTGAACAGACGGACACTCCCTGGCTCTAAGCGCTGTCCCCAACATGGTCTGCCACCCCCTTCCAGCCACCTCAGCCCCCCAATCCTGTCTCCTGAGCAGAAGCCCCACCCCCACCTGAGGATCTGTCCCCCACTGCTGAGGAGCCCACCGGCATTTTCCTGAAGAAGCCAGACTCTGTGTCGGCGGAGACTGGTGAGGGGGCCTGAGGGAGGGGCCAGGGCCTGGACTCGGGGTCTGAGGGAGGAGGGGGCGGGGCCTGCACTGGAGGTCTGAGGGAGGAGGGGCGGGGCCTGGACTGGGAATCTGAGGAGGGGCGGGGCCTGAGGAGGAGGAGCGGGGCCTGGACTGGGGTGTGAGGGAGGAGGGGGCGGGGCCTGCACTGGGAATCTGAGGAGGGGCGGGGCCTGAGGAGGAGGAGCGGGGCCTGGACTGGGGTGTGAGGGAGGAGGGGGCGGGGCCTGCACTGGGAATCTGAGGAGGGGCGGGGCCTGAGGAGGAGGAGCGGGGCCTGGACTGGGGCATGAGGGAGGAGGGGGCGGGGCGTGAGGGAGGAGGGGCGGGGCTTGGACTGAGGCGTGAGGGAGGAGGGGCCGGGCGCCTGGACCCCTGGGTCTGAGTCTGAGGGAGGGGTTGGGGGCCTGGACCACACTCCTGTAGAGTGTAGAGCCCCCCCCCACAGCTCTCACCCTCCCTGATCGCAAACCCCCTCCCGCAGGAAAGGATGCAGTGTTCGTGGCCAAGATCAACGGCAAGGAACTCCCAGGCAAACCCACCATCAAGTGGTTCAAGGGGAAGTGGCAGGAGCTTAGCAGCAAGAGCGGGACCCGATTCACCTTCAAGGAGTCTCACGACTCTGCCAGCAATGTGAGGCCCGCGGGCCCCCAGCACAGGCAGGGCCATGAGCTGTGCAGCCCTCTCCCCCCAGGCCCGCAGCTGGGGGGTTGGAGTCGCGCAGGGCTGCTTGGTGGAGGTGATGTGGGCGTGGGCCGACAGGGAGGTCGGGATTCGGGCAGCTCCTGGTGATGGGGTGGGGTGTGCTTTCTGAGAAAGGTGTTGGGGTCAGGGACATGGGCCCCCCACCCCCGTGGAAGATTGCCCCGGCCTGGGGGAGACGGTGCCGGCTACCACTTTAGGGCGCACTCGGAGAGGAGAGGGCTGTGACACGGCTCTCGGGGTGGCGGGGTGGCAGCGCGTGGTGATGTGCACCCACACCCCTGGCTCTGGCCCCCAGGTTTACACCGTGGAGATGAGCATTGGGAAGGTGATACTGGGGGACCGTGGGGATTACCGTCTCGAGGTCAAAGCCAAGGACGCCTGTGACAGCTGTGGCTTCAACATCGATGTGGAGGGTGTGCTGGCGGGGGTGGGAGCGTGACCAGAAGTGGGGGTGGGGCAGACGCGGGTGTCCGGAGGACAGAGCAAAGACGCGGGACTCAGGGACTTCAACCCTGGGGAGACTGTCCAGACAGCCTGGGCTGTCAGTGTGAGGCTCAAAGAGTCAGGTTTGTGAGGTCCGTATGGGAGGTCTCGGGGGTGCACTATGGGGGTCAGGATCTCAGTGTCCAGGCTGAGCAGGTAGCAGTAAAAGCCTGGGAGGTAAGATGCCCAGGTCTAGAGTAAGGGTGTGCGGTTTAGGGGTGCAGTGGACTAACAGGAGGCTGCCCAGATTTGGGAGCCCTGAGGGTGTACAGGTTCTGGGGCCTGCAGCCCAGGGTGTGTGGGGCTTAAGTAGCGTGGGCACGGGGCATGAGGTGGTCAGGCTGACCCATGCGTGAGGGCCACGGCCTGGCAGCCATGGGGCTTAGTCTAGACGCAGGGAGCGTGCGGGCTTGAGCGGGTGTGCTGGCTCAAGAGGTGCAAAAAAGGAAGTCCGGGAGGTTGACAGATCTGAGGGGTCCCTGGTCTTTGACCTTTGGCCTTGCCACAGCTCACCCTGCCGCCCCCCCCGCCCCCATTGCCTTTCCCAGCGCACCGTGAGGACACTTCTGGGCAAAGTCTAGAAAGCTTCAAGCGTTCGTAAGTGACCCTGGGCTCTGGGCAGAGGCCACAGCAGGAGGCTGTCCCTTGAGAGGGGGGCTGAGAGGGGCCCAGGGTGAGTCTGGGGGACAGGACCTCACTGGGGTCTACCCCCAATGGCGCAGGGGTGAAGGGAAGTCAGAAGACGCGGGTGAGCTGGATTTCAGCGGCCTGTTGAAGAAGAGGTGAGCGGCGGG